GTAAGTTTTTACTATATACATATAAGGATAACCAATGACCCCCGGGGCGGGGTCGATTTTGACCCCAGGGCTATAATTTGAACAATCTGGGTAGAGGTCTACCAGACAATGCCTTATGCAAAATATTTAAGCTCTAGGCCTTTTGGGTCTTTTCAAGAAGGTATTTTAAGTTTTTACCAGATGTACATACAGTGAAAATCAATGACCCCTGGGGTGGGGCCCATTTTGATCCCAGGGCTATAATTTGAACAATCTGGGTAGAGGTCTACCAGACAATGCCTTATGCAAAATATCTAAGCTCTAGGCCTTTTGGGTCTTTACAAGAAGGTATTTTTAGTTTTTACTATATGTACATATAGTGAAAATCAATGACCCTTGGGGCGGGCCGATTTTGACCCCAGGGCTATAATTTGAACAATCTTGGTAGAGGTCTACCAGACAATGCCTTATGCAAAATATCTAAGCTCTAGGCCTTTTGGGTCTTTACAAGAAGATTTTTTAAATTTATTTTTATAATTCCTTTCGGTTGCCATGGCAACCAGTTTCTGCATGGAATGAAATTCTTTGAACAACTTTGGAAGCCCTTCACCCAAGGATCAATGCTGCCAAGTTTGGTTTAAATTGGACTAGTGGTTTTTCACAAGAAGATTTTTTAAGTTCACTATATAATCTATATAACACACACACACACAAACAAACACACACACAGGTGAATCGCTATATGCCACCGCATCGCAGATGCTGCGGTGGCATAAAAACTGACATAACTAGCTACAAACTGTTTCACAAGAAGATTTTTTAAGTTCACTATATAATCTATATAACACACACACACACAAACAAACACACACACAGGTGAATCGCTATATGCCACCGCATCGCAGATGCTGCGGTGGCATAAAAACTGACATAACTAGCTACAAACTGTAAACAAAATACTTAAGTTAGTTCTAGTTTTTTTTTCTTACTACTTTGAAGCTGGAATGAATTGGGTTTTTTTTATAATAAAAAATTCACAAGAGTCAAAACTGAAATGTTTCTTAGAGCAATTAACACAAACATTGCCTGTATATACTTTTTGAACACAGAATATATTTGACACTTGACTTTTCTTTTAAAAAAATTTATGCATAACAATATTCACAAAATACACGCAGTACAAAAGAAATTTTTAAATGCATAATTTATGACAATATTTCTTAACCCCCTTTAAAACAGCATCATATTTTCACAGAAAATACAGACATCTCTGAATTAATATTTTTAACTCTTAAATAAGAATCCTTGACATCTGGGGAAAAAGCTAAATAACATTTACATAGTTAAAAAGTATTAAATATACCAGCATGAATGAAATTTAATTGATACTGTTGGTTTCAATACCAAAAGAATCTTTCATAACAGATACTTCATGTTTAAGTCTGATAAATCAAATAATATATCCAATACTCTGTACAGAGTTACCTCCCCTACTGTAGTATAGCACTTTATAGTAAAATATACACATTTCCAATTTCTTCTACAAACTAATTTTTTTTCATATTTCCTCAACAATAGAGCATATATATAACATATATATATTTATACATAGTAATGTATAAACCTTTAAGCATAGTAACAGTTTAATAACAAATAAATTAGAAAACTTTTAGTTTAATAACAAATGAATTACATGAAATTTTAAGACTTTCATCATTTCAATCATGCAACAAGATAATAACCGTTCTATACTAAATACTTAGAAGAAATTATTTCAGCTATTCTTATCTCATTTTTTGGTAAAGTTATAGTCACAAATACACTGCATAAGTCATATCCTGACTTTTCTTACCTTACAGGTGAAGGAAGGTCCATGGTTTCCCTCAAATCATCAATTTCGTTTAAAAAAAAATTAATAGTCAAACACTTAGCTAACACTCAACATACCTTACACAATTTCAATCTAAGGCATTGAGGGAAAATAACATAAAGTCAAACTGAGACACCTTAAACCTTAACCTACTGAACATGTGTAATGGATTTGACCAGCTCTGAATTCAGAACAGTCCATTCAAAGTATAAGAGATTTCCATATCCTGATGCAGAAATTTAGCTACTTAAAGTAAAGAACTTGGTTAGACTGCTGATAAAACAGGGTAGACTGGCTCTATAGTGGATGGCAAAAGCTTATCATTTTTCGTTCAAGCAGATTATGGGTAAATCACTCGCTAAGAAGACTCCAATACGATAATTTTACCGAAATGAAAAATGTTTTTGCTTGTTAATTTGATAAAGGGTATGGATTGGAGAAAAAGAATAAAGAATAATGCTCATTTTTACAAAAGGAAACAAACAAAACAATCAGCCTTGAAATTAATGTTAATAAATGTAAAATTGCACAATTTGACCTAGCTACTAAATATATGTGCAAAAAAAGCAAAGTTTCAAGAAATTCTTACAATTCTTACAATGCACTATCTTGGAAACTTGCACTCTTAAGACATAGATGCATTTACATTTTGCTACTTAAAACAGGCTTATCGTACATGAAAACAATAGAATTGACATATATAGACTAGTAGACACATGGATACACAAAGTATACAATTAATAAATTTTGTTACTATGGTAAACTAACAAAAACAATAAACATGTATATGTATATACAAAATTTTGTTTCAAAATACATTGTATGTAAGTTAGTGAGAACCAACGATAAATGAAGAAAGAAATGAGCATGAAAGTTTCAGGTTTTACTAAAGACTTGCCTATTCTTAACCAGCTTACAACTTCAATGTCAGAGCTCAAGAACTTTTCAAACAAAGGTTTTATGAAATCTAATTACAATTTTTACACGATTTTACAAACAAATCATACAATAGAAAGGAAAAAAAGATGATGTAGGACAATATAACTTACAGTTATGTCAAAAATTCATCAGTTAGTGCTGTACATAAACAAAAGGAACAATGTTTTCAAAATAACCTCTTCAGTCTAACTTTTAACAGATCAATTATTCCTATGATAAATTTAGGAGCAATAAACATGAGTCTTTGACCTAATTTTTTGTACAATTGAAAGACCAAATTGAAAAAAAAAAGTTTCTGTTTCTTATAAACTATCTTCAACAACCTTTATTTAATCATATTTTCATTTAAATGTCCTGTCTATTTGGACAAACTATGCATGCATACAAAAAGTAGGTCCACAGCTAAGCCAGTTAGATGAACCCTTATTAAGCAAAGACAAGCTTGGGATAATAAGAATCTTATTTCTTTTATTATTTCAAATCAAATTCAGAGTTGTTTTAATTTTCTTAGATTACGACAAGCACTTTTCAAAACTGTGCAAAGAGTCATCAGAAAATAATCTAAAATCACACAATTATGTAAATAATATATTTATCAAAAGTACCCTGATATTAACAAAATGTGTCCTTTAACTTTTGAGTTTGCTACAAGTAAGTTCATAGTAATACATAAATAATCAGTTTTATGAAGAAATAATGATACATGATGCCCCAAGTTGCTCATATGAGACCCACTGCTAGAATAGCCATAATTCTGTAATGCATAAGTAGGTAATTGGGTTGTTTATATTTGACCCAAGGGGCATAATTATTAACAGCTTTTGTAGAGGTCCACTAGGAAATGCAACATGCTAAATATTTAAAAGTTATTGGCAAAATAATTTTCACATAAGGAGACATAACTGTGTTTTCCTATTTATGTCTATATTGACTAAGTGACCCCAAGGGTAGGGTCAACTATAGTTATTAACTTTTATAGAGGACCGCAAGATAAGGGCAGAAACTACATGCCATATCTCAGCTCTGGGCACTGTGACTACTGAAAAGATCTTTAATATACTTTATTTTCAGCTCTGTTACCTACTTGCACCTCAGACTGGAACCAATTTATATAAATTTTGTAGAAGGCTTTCTATAATGTTGTTTAAACAAACTGTGAATAGTGATGCAATACTGAAGATAGATGAAAGACATCATGTAATCTCTAAGCATCAGAAACACAATCTCTAAGATTCAGAAGCCTTAAAACTTTGACAATCTTGTTTAAACATGTTGATGATTGTTAATCAATCATTCATGCTCTTATTTACATATAAATTAAACAACAGAATGGTCAAAAAAATACTGGAAACGTATATATATCAAATATTTTCTAATTTACACAAATATATACAAAAAATACAAAATAAATGAGGAAACAAATGATGAAATACAGAATATTTGTTTGTTTTTAGTGAATACATACTATATCTAACCTACTAAAAAAAGTACATGTACGAAATTTTTTAATATACACTGTATCAACTAAGAAGTAGTTTCAAACAGTGTGATATCACTTATGTAATGTATAACTTTCGTCAAATCTTGTCTTGCTTTTGATTATCACTACAATGTCTTCATTTACACTATTTTTGCTTTTTAATGTCTTGCTAGTAATAGGTAAACAGCACAATATTCTACATTGTATTGTTATAATAAATCGATGACTTTCACATGTTACACGCTTAAAGGTATCAGGTATAAAGTGTAAAGATATCGCTTCTCTAGGAACATAATACATGTACTCTAAATAAATACATAATCATGAAGCTTTCTGTTATCAGCCGCGCCATGACAAAACCAACATAATGTGTTTGCGACCAGCATGGATCCAGACCAGCCTGCGCATCTGGTCAGGATCCATGCTGTTCGCTTACCAACCCTATAACAAGTAAAGAAACTGATAGCCAACAGCATGGATTCTGATCCACGCTGGTCGCAAACGCATTACGTTGGTTTTGTCATAGCGCGGCTCATATGATGAAATCTTGTACATAATGGTCTCACCTTTACACGTCATATCTTAGCAACATTTTCAAAGTTTACTATATAAGTGCAATAGTCACATGATAGAAAAGCAACATATCCATTAAAGAACATGTAAAGCTGTTAATAACAGATAAATATTTTCAGAAGAAAAAAATTGTTTACCATAAAAATGCAAAAAATAGAAATTAAGATTATAAAGATCATGTTGGAATCTCAATTTAGCTGACATTCTATATTACACTGTTACCATAAGAACTATACTTTGAGATGAAGCTGGTGACATCAGAATATATTCAGCTGTTATTTTACTGGTCTATAGGAATAATGAAGAAGATTTAGAATGTAAGGTGAACATCAACTGTACGGGGCTCTACATAACACAGTTGGAAAATCTACATTAAATCTAGGATGTGAAAGTTCAACTTCTCCCTGAAACAATAAAATATAAAAACATTGATATCTATTGAATTTAAACAGTATTTTATTAAATAACAACACAGTAAAGACATAATTCTTGTTCAATACTATATGTTAATATGTAAACTTTTGTCCAATTTTATTTGCTGAATAGCTAAATTGCAAGTTTCAATCATGGAATATCAATATTATGTGAAATTCTCAATATTTTGAAAAGCATAAAGTTTGAGAACATCATACTGAATATTCTTCAATCACACATTGACCCTTTCTTTTTTTAAATAAAAAAGAAAACAGAGTTACACTAACTTACTAGGACAAAAGCAGTTTATTATAAATCCAACTAAATAAGCTCAAATTTTTACACAGCAGGTGCTTCCAGAATATATAATCCAGCAGAAAATACATGTAAATCAAAAACATTATACATTCATTATAATTTAATAATATTGAACTCTTTTCCCTTAACTTTACACCCCTATGGGGCCTTTATTAGAGAATTTATGCAGTACATAATATCAGATTGTTAAGAAGCAAATAAAACTTTTTACCCATGATATTACCTGTGGAGTTAGATTTTCATATGAGCGTTTCATAATATACTTATGTCCACGCTTCACTTCAATAAAGAACTCATGAGCAAGATCCCCATCCTCATCAAAATACATTGACCTGTTCAAAACATGAAAAAATACTTGATAAAAAGTTAGAAACAAAGCCTGAAGTTATAAGTTAGAACATTTTACACATATCTCTTTATATAGCATATCCTAACTTGACAAAATAGATCTTAGGAAGAACAACACATTAAACATACAAATTTAATTGATGTTTGTACATAAATAATAACTTTGTCATGTGGTAACTTAATCAAGTTTCCGCCAATCTCCTAAAGCAGTAAAGGCATGTATCATCACCTTTTTCAGGATTTGAACTTGTTAAAGAATGTACAGGATTTGAACTTGTTAAAGAATGTACAATGTAAGATTTTTGTCGAAATGCATACAATTCATTTAAAATTTAACACTAATTTTCATTTTAACAACATCTGTGCCAATTACAACTTTTCACATCTTTCCACCTATCTCCAGATTAAGAACTTGAACACAATCGTAAGAAATGCATGTATTGAAAGTTGGTAGTAGGACATCGGTTAAGCAATTTGAATAAAGCCTTACGGCAGGGTTCTCACTAGGACTTTAAAACATGGAGTACATGGACTCGCAAGCATGAAAAAGTTGGAGTCCAAAAGCGCGTTGCAATAAAAATGTTTACAGATTAGTCATTTAATGCTCACAATAGCATTGCTGATTATGATATTTTTCAAGAGACTTTCAAAATTTATAGATATTCAAAACAAACTCTGAACTACATAGTTTAATTATTGTTTTGTTGTTAATATTTATTATGAAACAATGAAATTATATTGCATCAGCACGTGGAAATTGTTTTTGTTTTTTTTCACTTTTATACCAAATCAAATTTTATTCTGGTTAAATAAGTTCACTCTAAAGACCAAAAGTCTATATTTGTTAAAAAAAAACGTAAATGTTTATAGGCAGCGTTTAGCGGAATGAATAGGAAAATCGTGTACAGCTTCACACAGTGTATAAGGGATTCATCAGATCGACAATTATTTTAGCAAATATCTTCAAAAGGGGGCAAATTGAAGATCGATATTTTTAGATTTAATGTTGATTAAATGATAAAAGGAACAAATGTAATGTCAAAATTGAGGAAAATGTATATAAGGCCATCCTTAAAAAAATGTTTGTTTGCAGTAACCCGACCCAGAATTTTCAAGGTGGGTAGGTAGGTCGATTTTTTTTTTTTTATTGAACTGTACTCCCAAATAAACATGGAATTTCAAAATGCTGGACAATATATGCTTTGATAATCTGTTAACAATTAATAAATTGATAACTGAATTCTAATTTAATAAGACCTACATTTTATTTCTCCAATTAACCTTTAAAAGAACGAAAACAAAGCACAAGCACAAAAAAAAAATTTTTTTATCCAGACCATGAAAAAAAATTTTGAGTAGTGGCAAATCTTGTGAGTCGGTCGCGTTACTGCAAACAAACATTTTTTTAAGGATGGCCTAATATACAGAAAATTCAAGTTTTTTTTTATAACTACAGGATTCATTTTTATCTTGTGGTATGAAAATTATGACATTTCACTTGTGGTTAACGCCTATCATGAAATATTTATTTCCATACCTTTCGATGAATAAATCCTGTATTTGTAGAAAAAACTTGAATATCCTCTATATGTCAATTATGAATAATTGGCCCGCTAATTATCTGATAAAAATATTTTTCAACAGAGGCAATATGAATTTAACATGTGTAATCTTTTCTTGACAATTTTTTTAACTTCTGTTCTATAAATAAATGAGTGCAAGTCAGTTGAGTTTCATCACCTTTGATGATTCCGATTAAACAGCAGGAACTACCTGTGTGTGAACATCAAAGATGGACAGATTCTTTTGAAGGGTCAGTGAAGTCATCAAGTGTGTAGATTTCAGGTTATGTCCTTAACTCCTTTTTGTTTTTTATTAAACTTTAAAAGGGCCAAGTTGACCCTATTCTAGGGCTGATCCTATCCTAATTTGTTTTTATTACTGGTTGGGGACCACCAAAACCGGACAACCACCAAACCCGGACGGCCCCGAAAATGCTTGATTTAGAATTTGCTTAGTTCAGTGGTTGTCAGTCACTTTTTTATCAACAATAAATGCATGTTTCTTCTATAATTAAGTAAATACATTTATTTCAACCTCCGTAAATGGTAATATTTTAATGTCTATTTTAAGAATGTTGACGTTGAAATTTGGGGGTCAAGAAAGCAATGCCTGACCTCATATAACAGCAATAATTTTTTGCAAAGTAAACAATAGAATATCCTAAACTTCAGCATTTGCTGCTGAAATATTGTGTGTCATGTTAAAAATAAAAAAAAAACACCAAAGCTTTTATCCGAATTAAATCAACGTTATTACATATCTGTCCGGACACATGGTACTGTAGTATGTACAATTTAGGTAATTTTGATACCCTCCTTGACGGGCCTCGGATATAAGTGTCAACATAATCAGAACTAAACAAACTAGTTTGTTAGTTAGGAGAAGAACCTAGCTGTACTGTGTCAAATTTTCGTACCTCTAGCTTTAAAATTATGAAATTTGTATAGAAAAATGTTCAAAAAGTGTCCGGTTGATGGTCCCTGACCAGTAGAGGGTCAAATTCCTAGAAATCACTATGTCAGGGGTTCAAATCCTGGTCAGTCTGAGATTTTCAGTTTGCAAAACAATATTTTTCTTTTCCAAATTTTAAGGCTTGTGGATTGGGTCTGGATCACCCTAAGTCCTGAGGATGCTATCACATTAAACAACAAAATCCCAATTCATTCTTACTGTCTATGTCTTTTTCTTGGTTGGGTTTTATGTCTCCCCAATACAGTATAGGTCATATTCATCATTGTGACTTTCCAGCTTTACTGGTGGCGGAAGACCCTTCTTTTCATTTTCTAAGGCATGAATGGGCATCAGAGTAGAACCACTGACTTTCCGTAAAACTCCTGTCACACAAGGGCAGCATTCTCACAGTGTTCAAAGAAAATTCAGAATGCCAAAGTGAGTGCAGTGACTGAGTGAGATCACAAGCATCACAGTGTCATCTTATAGAACGCCGAACAATGGTGTGAATTTTGAGCATGCTCAAAACATACACTGTCACTCAGCGTTCTGATAAGAATGCAGTGGGATTGCAGTAAGGACGCCGTAGCAACTCAGTAGCATCTCCTACAACACAAGGAGTGCCATTAAAGTGTAGACAGATTGCCAAATGAACGCCGTGGATATCCACAGTCCTTATATATGGAGATTGTGCAGCGTCTCTACCATGCTCATATTACCGTGCACAGCACTTTAATGTAGCTTTACGACTTCGGCACAGTTTGAGCACTGTGAAAGCGCAGAGGAAACGCAAAGAACCCAGTTTGCGCAGTCCGAATGCAGACAATCACCAATTAAAACGCTAGTTTAGTTTGACAGGGACTTTAGCTAATATGTTCTGGATTAAACCCTGAGGTAGTATCGATTGTAATCTTATTGCGTTTTCGTTGTATATTAATTTGTTTAAAGTATATCCAAACTTCTTTTTAAGCCTATCGTGCTATGTTTTTCAGTGTTTTTTACCCAGTCCTCTTGAATACGTATGGCGTTACAGCAAATCTTCCAACACCAGGCTCTGCTTGGTCGTCTGAAGTTGAAGAAAATACAGAGGATATTGACCTTGTTACTTTTCGAGCTACATTTGATGTTGTCTGCCCCATTTTAAAGCTAAAAGTGTTAAATTATAAAATATTCACATCGGATCCGCCATTAATACATGGTAGCTTTGATTATTATTTTTTACAGAATAGTGAATGATTCGTTTATGTTCTGGATTTAATCGAGCAAATAAATGTTTAGGTTGACCACTCGATTCAAACTAAATAAATTACGGTTTATCATAGAAAGATACATGACATGTTAAACATCGCGCATTCTTATTTCTCAGATCATTGCTCATTACATGCCTTCTTGTTGGTAGAATTATAAAGTAGATATTTAACGAATTATTACTTAATATTTTTCTCCCAAGCATGTGCTGTTTGAGCTTATTGTCTTCATATTGCATGATTTTCGTTTATTCGTTGAAAAAAAAGCAACAAAAAACCATCAACAATTAACAACATTATTTGACTTTAATGTATGCTTAGGAACATGTATACACATGTATTTTTTACCCTTTGTTATACATAAATTTTATTAGTTATACTGATTTTTGACAGGTTATATGGTCCTACATAAAGGTTGTGTGGAAATATAACCCGAGCCACTAGGCTCGTACTAGAATATGTTCAAAGTCAACTGTTATGCAGTTGATGTATGTGAAATTTATAACAGTTTCTATATAATTTGAAATATGTGTGTACCAGCAAGAGTTACCTCTCTTTATATTCTGCTTTCGTGAAAATTGGCTCCGCCTATTAATTTTCGTCTATTTCCGTGATAATTCCATATATGGAAGTTGCAAAATCGTTTACAAATGTGTGTAGTGTTGTATACCTGAGTTTTGTTACATTATCAACGTCATGATGCACAGCATTAAACGTATTGTGTACGTTCTATCATTTACATTTCTACATGTCGCAAATTTTAAGTTATATATACATTTATAAATACAGTTTACAATTTATCTAAGTTGCATGTTTACTGCTTCAATTTTATCAAATCGAGATAATCAAAATGCTTAATATAGTCTGATTTTATTTACCTGTCAATTATGAATACATTATAGGACTCATTTAAATATTCGATCCCACTTCGGTTTGATCCGTGTAGTTTACGAGAATTAATGTGGAGTATATTAGTCATGGATTGAAAGTCACGCCAGCTTAATGTAAAGGTTTTCGTTAATTCACAATAGGACAGTCGGTAAAGAGAATGACTGATAATTGAGAGGTCTGTGGTTCGATCCTTACTGTTGCCATTGTTTTAGTACTCTTTCTTTATTTTTGCAGTATATTTTAATGGAACAGATTTGTAGTATGTTTTACGGCATTGAAAAGACATTTATTGATTTTAATCCGTTTTAAATTTAAACATGAATTCTTAAAAGACATGTTATTTAAAAAGAGTATATACATAACAAAATTTAGTAAAACATAAACAAAACGAACAACATAAAATAATCATATATAGATTCAATAATGTTGAAAGTAATAATAAGAAAAAAACATGAACTTAAAACACGTGTTGCACTTAGATTATAAACTCGTGATTTACGCTTTTGTGCTTTAACGCTGAGTACACTTAGTTTAGCGATACAAATTAAATTAAATTCCATTGTATAGCGTACATCTCACGGAACTTACCGAACATCTACCGAAGATTAATATACTGTGTGCATCGACTGTGTAATCAGTATGTAATTGACAGGTTAATAAAACCAAACAATACCAGTGCAGTATGTAACTCTCGGATCGACAATTAGATTTTTACGAATCTGTTTAGTAGAACCGAAGTATGCATTGTCAAGTTTCAAAGGCTGGATTTTTGGCAACGAATAACCTCCATAGATAACCGCCGTATGAACACATCTGCGGATGTTTCATTACCAGTTCATGTAGCCTAATTAATTTGGCGTGAACGGTTTGACCCATTTTACAGACTTTTTTTCTTTCTGTCAAACCGTTACTGGAAAAAAGACAGCGCCCGTCCAAAATCATCTCGGTGTCTCTTTGACAAGTCTAATTAGTTGGACTGCAGTTCATGTAAAATGTGAGTTCCGCTTAAAGCCGGTGCTACGGGTCGTGGACGGTAAATTTCACTTTCCATTATCGTCCATTAACAGGCTCTGCAACATTTTCAATCTTGTTGTTTTTTGGACTTTCTTTAAGGATTCTTTATCTCTCTCTATTTTTGGGTTTTCAATCTCGGATTTTCCCAGAAAAGGGGTAGCTAGTTTCTTGAGTTATAATGATGATTGTTAAGTATGTCCTCCTACCGCATTCATCAGTCAGAACATTCCAAATCAAACACGAAAAATATTTCTGCCAAGTCCTGAAATTCTCGTACTATCTACATGTATATCTATCTTTATATGGAATAATCGTATGACGTCACGAATACATTTTATAATGATTTTTTTTAGTTAAATTTGCTTAAAAGTCGTGTTTTATTTCTTTTAGAGTTACTTTGTACTTTTTAGCGAATTGATTAAAAAGAAATTTAAAGGTCACATTTCCGAGGTGTTGATTTATACAAGTCGTGAATTTCAATGATGACGAGTTCATCATATCACCAGAGAATAATAACGAACGTCTTTTTTTAAACATTTCTGCTGGTATTTCCTTTGTTGACCACTTTTGTATCTTATTACATCTAAAATAAACTAACCATTACTAACAGACATGCTTATCCCGACTGAAGATCTAAATAATTTTCTACAATTGTTGAACTTTTAAGTTGGAGTAAAGTGCAATGCAATTGCTTATTAATGAAATTGATCGTTATATTCAAACTTAAATGTAAAATTTGCACTTTTATTTACAAGTTTTGGTGTCATAAAAATACAATTTTATGTTGTTTTCCATTTACATGTTTAAACAATATTATGTACGTTTGATGATAGTAACGTTTAATTGTTTCATTTTGGTCAGTTAAAGAAGTCTCATTTATGCTGGAACGTAAGTTTTTACTTGAACTTTATTACAGTCCGTGGTTTCTACAACATATCCTCGACGTTAAAAAAACTAGGTGACAAAAGTAACGTATGTTACATTTAAAGTGTTAACTAAGTCAAAGTGGCAGCAATAATTCTAAAAAATATTTTGACCTCCAGAAACAACTTCGTGTGAGAGCTCCCAAATGGAACACCAAAAACTGTGAATTAAATATATTAAATTTAAGAATTTGAAAAATGGAATGATCTAATTGGAAACAGTTGATGACCATTTGAAATTAATGTTCCTGGTTCTTAGACATGTAGATTTTGTATAGGTAAAGTGTTTGTCAGTGAGCATTAATGGAATTAATTATGTCATGGACCTATACTTTAATTAATTAGTGCGGAGTTATGTTTTGAAACTTTATACCGTGTGAGTATACATGATAAGCTATAATGTCCCAGATTTTACGATAATTTAGTAGGCCCTATCCATTTTAAAAATGAATTAAATTAACCAAATAATTTAAAATATGGAACGATCACAGTTTGTGATAAAATGTAGTAGAATTATTTGATGACATAGTAACTCGTGACCACGACATGGTATCTCGTGCGCACGAGATAAATAAAAACACACACGCACATGTCACCTTTGTGCCACCGTACATATGTCCGTTAAAATGAAATATTGACGAAATAAACTGCATACTTTCATTTTTATTATGTTCACTATAAAATGATTTTTGCAGCGAAACATATTATTGTATTGGAGATATTTTGACTTGTAATAAATCCGTGCTCAAAATAGAGGAAAAAATATATAATAAACAGAAAATTCGAGTTTATTCCTATAAATAAAAGATTCATTTTCATCTCGTGGTTGGAAATATTTATTTTCAAACCAATCGAGTATTTATAGAAATGAATATCCTTTAATTATTTCAATGCTAAAATTGCGTGGGGATTTAATAAATGCTAACAGGTGCCCGCAAATTAATGACGTCATAGTTATTGATCTTGGTTGACGGAAGTAGTGAAGATACAATACATGAACGTGTATGCAGTGTTTTTGATGGAAGTTAAATTTTAATTGAATCGAAAATGCCACTGTTTGGAAGAAAGAGTGATGGAGATAAAAAAGACAAAGGGAAGGATGGCGATATTAGGAAGAAATATGATTTAAAAGAAACTCTTGGAACGTAAGTAACAATTATGTACATGCAAATTTTGTCAATAACTCCTACATAATAATATCAACAAACATTGATTGACAGTTGTGTTTGTAAATAGAGCAAGGATGCTTGATTGGTCTGTAACATTACGCAACAGAATATAGTTACGGAGCGATCTTATTGATAAGAAAATCAAGCGTTTTTAAATAATTTTGCATGTATTTTGCCTGAACACTAGAAAGACATTTACTGAACTGCTGAAGTTATGATGTCATTAAAATCATAATTAGTTCACAAAAATACATTTTACGATTTTAATATACTAGATTCTAGTATTTTAAATGTCACTTTTTTTTAAATCATGTGTATATTTTGCTTAAAATTAACATTAATTGTAAAGAAATTTTTTAAACTGTCAGTTTTGTACATTTTTGCATGGTACAAAATTAAGTTCTGTGATCTATTGTAATTTTGTTCTCATATCATAAATTTGATAAAAAATAAGATTGTGTATGTTATAGCTCTTTGGTTATTGATTGAACTTTATATTTTTTAGCAGGTTTAGTGTGAGTGTTCAATTATAAAGTATGAAGCATAGAACCTGGGACTTATATAAATGATAACATCATTTTATGCCCTTGAGATAGAACTCAATATTGTAATAAATTCTTTATCATACTGTACTGTAGACATATAACTCATTAGCTGGGAATATTCTGATTGACCCCCACTAAATAATTCATATGGTGGTCAGGCTAAGTTATTCTTATTTTTTTGTTTGATTTATATTCAATCAATTTCACAGTTAACTAATTCATTTGGGGAATTTAACCGTGCTTGAGGATAAAAATTAATTTTTACTTTGTAAATAAAGGCCAGTCTAAGGGATGGACCATTTTTGGCTTACATTATAACATAATAAACACAATACATGAAACCCACATCAGCTGTTTAATATACATACATATATGTATTGTAAGAGATCAATATTTGGCTATGATACTGAGAAATAATACCTTAAAAGTTGTGAATATAGCTGAAAATGTGTTAATTTATAAATACCTCAAGGATATAATGAATATATAGGTTTACTAATAATCACTTTGTCTCCTTTCTCTGGTACAACAGGGTCTTTCAAATAGAATGGTTTTGAAATGCGCTATGTAAACCCTTCTCGCTACAATTTAACATGTCTCGGTATAACTCTGTATATATAGTTTGCCATACTCAAGTTATGTGTAAGTGTTCAAGAAATGGGTGAAAATTAAATACAATATTTAGCGAAACTGAAAATTCTTACAACATGATGTTCTTTATAAAATCTTCAAACTTGTGAAAAAGATAAATATTTCAGATAATGTTTTGAAAGCCATTATCTGTTGAAAAACATAGATTTCTTGTTCATGATATTTGCTGACAAACTGCACCAAATGCACCAAATAAAACATCAAATATTTGTAAATAACGTCATAATATTATAAAATCTTTACATGATACGATTAAATAACATTTTCTCTATTTAAAATCAATGTTCTATTTTGTCATGGAACAATGCGTAAATAAAAAAAAAAGCTTATGAAACTCGCTCCTATATTTTCAAATATTAGCAGTAGATTTTTACATTGGCACAGAGAACGAAAAAATCCTTATTCATTGCAAATCTATTAATTTGTCACTTAATAAAGTAAAAACTGATAATGTATTGTTACTTGGCCAGGATTTTCAGAAATTTTTTGATCAATTTAACAAAAAAGTATGTAATAATTTGATTTTTTGAACGGTGATGTACTATGCCAGATCTATCACAGTCTGTAGATAACCTAATCACGTGACTCAGCAGAGACATATCTTTCTTTGTAAAATTGGTATAACTCTAGACCATTCTTTTTGAAAGACACTGGGTACAATTTCAAAACAGAACATATTTTTATGAAAAACATATTATTTGGTTAGACATGGAATAAAAATCCCCATGAAATACATGTGTATGCGAGTGATTTATCTATTACAAAACAAAAATTCATGTTCAGTTGAGCAAGTGAAACTCAACTTAAATTTATGCACTATTGTTATAGTTTTAAGGATACATGTTTACTTTACTTCTAAGTGTCTAAAGGTTCCTTTACTACATGTAGGTATATTGCAAATCAATCAATGTCAGATTTATTCTTTCAGCACAGATAGTGCTAACTTGTAGTTGTATTGACGTGATAGGAGGATCATGATAAATAATTTGATAAAATATTGACCAACTTATAAACGCTCGTTTGAAGTTTTGCTGACAGTTCTTGCAGCTGTTTAATGTAAAAAAATGTTGAGATTGATAGAAAATTCCTCCTGGAATTATTTATGGTTGAAATTTAAATGATCTTGTTTGTTATGAAAATTTGTTTCTATAGTTACAGACTGCGACATTTTTTTTTAAACAATTTCTAAAACACAGGGTTTTGTACTTAATAAAACATACCCACTTACATGTACTATAAAAATAATGACCTAGCTTTGATCTTTAAAAAAGAACTTACCCCTGAGAATTTCAGTGGGTTAAAATATTATAAATTTAAGTGGTTATTTAAGCTTTGCTCAGCAAGGCTTTGTAATCCTTGATTTATCCTGACTGATTCCTTTATTGAACACTTTCATTTCTTGATCATCCGTTCAATGCTGATTGTTTTCCTCTATTAATGCTGATTGATTCCTTGATCAATGCTGATTGATTCCTTGATAATTCTGATTGATTCGTTGATCAATGCTGATTGATTCATTGATCAATGCTGATTGACTTGATCAATGCTGATTGATTCATTGATAATTCTGATTGACTTGATCAATGCTGATTGATTCCTTGATCAGTGCAGATTGATTCCTTGATCAATGCTGATTGATTCCTTGATAATTCTGATTGATTCCTTGATCAATGCTGATTGATTCCTTGATTAATGCTGATCAATTGATTCCTTGATCAATGCTGATTGATTCCTTAATAATTCTGATTGATTCTTTGATCAATGCTGATTGATTCCTTCATAATTCTGATTGATTCCTTGATCAATGCTGATTGATTCCTTGATCAATGCTGATTGATTCCTTGATCAATGCTGATTGATTCCTTGATCAGTTCCGAATGATTCCTTGATCAGTGCTGAATGATTCCTTGATCAATGCTGATTGATTCCTTGATCAATGCTGATTGATTCCTTGATCAATGCTGATTGATTCCTTGATCAATGCTGATTGATTCCTTGATCAGTTCGGAATGATTCCTTGATCAGTGCTGATTGATTCCTTGATCAATGCTGATTGATTCCTTGATCAATGCTGAATGATTCCTTGATCAGTTCTGAATGATTCCTTGATCAGTGCTGAATGATTCCTTGATCAATGCTGATTGATTCCTTGATCAATGCTGATTGATTCCCTGATCAGTGCTGAATGATTCCTTGATCAATTCATTGATTGATCCTGAATAATACTTTTAATTATAACCTGTATTAATTTAAGGGTTCAAGATATTGTTTATGTATGATAATGATATAATTGCCCTAGATACTAAGTTGTTGGAACAGAAGTATTGTAGGACAGACAATTTGTCATCGCCATTTTTTTTGGCATATATGTGTCGATAATATTTCTTGAAATGCTATGAAAGGAGACAAAATAGCGTTCATACATTCTTATTGACATTATTAGTCGATAAAAAGGTGTGTTCATATAAATGTGGAAAAAAGTACAGTGTGATAATTGCACCAATGGTTTATATGTATGCCACCAAGGGCATATTTGACCCCAATTTTTTATGTAAATAAAATAAGTAAAAATAATAAAATTATAAAATGACATAAAGAAAATGCAAATAATAATAATAATATTTTCATGTATGAATGTGAGTGTGTATGTAATCTATTATAATGTTTTATGATAAATGCTTTATTTTCAGATTTAATGTAATGTTTTGAATTCATAATCATATTGTTAATTAACTTACTATTTAGGTGTAAAAAGCCATAAGGCATATTTTTAGTAAAGTTTATCTTAATACTTAAATATCACATATGTCAGTCTTTTTGACACTTGAGAAGATTATTTTCACTTTTAGAAATCTTTTACTCTTATCAACACCTTTTGGTTTAGGTGCTATTCATTTATAATACTTAGTAGCTTTTAGCAATTAATGCTATTAGGAAATTATGTAACTTACAGGATATGTTTTATACCTTTTTTCATAAGATAATTTTTATCCAGATTAAGCATCATGTAATACTTTTCTATTTTTCATTGGTCAATGTTTTTCAAATTTCATTGGTTATTCAATTAATTATTTAAATTACTAATACTTGAGAATATTATATATATAGAGACAAAATAAGTTAAGACGGAATTAAGATTTAAGAATGAAGAATTAGAATCTTTAGGGTGACAGAATTAAGAATTAAGAAATAAGAACTTTTAAAATTAGGAATTAGAATTAATGTAAAAGTGTGTTAAAAGTATCTTGGAAACCCTTTTGATAAGAAACATTGTGGACTTAATATATTTTAATGAAAGTGAACTTTAAGAAACTTTGTATGGAATATAATATTAGTAAACTGTGAAATAAAGAAAATCAATAAATTGAATAAGTAATTAGGAACATTTGTGTTCATCTTCATTTCATCAAAGTTATCTGCTATCACACTCTACATACTGATAGTAAACTACGTGACCGACTGCTTGGGGTGGACACTTTATATTCTGTATCAGGACTCAGCCTAGACCTCGGCTAATTCCCCACAGCTTAAACAACCGGTACCGCATAGCTCTACCGGAGGTCTAGGTTCCCATACAGTGTTGCTGTTATTACTGGAGAAGTTGTGACGTGCAATAAGGGCCGCCGCAACCCCAGCACAGTGTAGCAGCAGCCAGCCCCAGCCCCTAAGGCAGCCCCCGGTCGCAGTTGGTGGAGAATCCGGGTACTCAGTAAACTGCTGAGAGATCATTTGGACATTTTATGACATGAGGAAACAAATACAGATGTAAAACGACAAAAT